TATATATATATATATATTACTGTAAATATCAATATCTAAGTTATTGATTTTCCTGTCGATGTTTCCTATTTTTCATTTTGCATAAATAATATTTTTAAAATATTTATGCAAAATGAAAAATAGGAAACATCGACAAATTAATTAATTATTATTTTCTTCTAAAATCATTTTAGAATTTCGGTTTCATCCGAGTCATCATCAGTGAATGACAAATTAAATAAATTGCATAATAATCAAAAATATTATCCCGTGTGTGAATTCTTACAGTTCCAATAATACCGGAATTTCTTTATGATATCAAACATCCTAATGCAACATTAAGTGACCATCTAGAAGGAGGCGCATTTCATCAAACTACGGTCGTCACCACCACATCGCCAACAACAACAACAACGACAAAATGTACTTGTGCTCCAAATACATCGGCGACATTGGAATTTTTACATGTTACAACTCCTTCTATGAATCTATCGGGTAAAGCGCGCTTTATCGCATCATTTCTTATTGCAAACGATAAATAATAAAATAATATTTCGATAATAATCTAATTGTTGATTTAATAATTTAAACATGAAAATTACATCTTCAGAAAAAGAAGGGAACACTTTTAGAGATGAAAGAGAGAAGGGGGAAGACCTTCCTATTCAGCAAAATCTTTTGATATACTCGATTTTTTTCATTTTAGAAATTACTGCAGCCAATCTCACGTCGGACACGAAAGAAAAGGAGCAGAGACATCGGGAATTATTGGAAGAGACCGTAGCAGTAGGAATGATGTTCGCTTCCAAGGCTTTTGTCCAATTGTTGGCTAATCCCATAGTTGGACCGTTGACCCACAAGTAACTTTACATTTACTCAAAATTTGTGCGACTATCTTTTATTCGCAATATATATGAGATAAAAACATTTCTCCTTAATCTAATATTAATAAATACGCTGTAACAATAAAAAAATATTACACGTAAATGTAATAATATTGATATTCAACTTTTAAATCCATTGTTCGTTTTTAGGATTGGATACAGCATACCTATGTTTACCGGGTTCATTATCATGTTTCTATCCACGCTGATTTTTGCTTTCGGTCGAAGCTACGGTATACTTTTTCTAGCACGAGCTCTACAGGGTATCGGTTCATCATGCTCTAGCGTTTCCGGTAAAAGCTCATCTATATTATCTCGTTACTTTGGTGTTTATAACATAGCAATCTTGTTGTATAATAGAGAAAATTTCCACGCTCGTCAAGGCTATTTCTCACAATTCTACACAAGCATCGGTGGTTCAGTGGTAGAATGCTCGCCTGCCACGCGGGCGGCCCGGGTTCGATTCCCGGCCGATGCAAAATTATTTTGCTTTTTGGCTTTCCTTATTGCAACATTTTTTTGAAAGAATCCTATAAAGATTTCTAAATTTTTATACTTTTTTTTTGATCGAGCAAATAAAGCTTATTGTAAAAATAAAAAAGAAAATGATATAGGAAAAGAATGATTTTATTGAAGCATCTAAAAATTTAAAAGCTATAACAAATATTTATTAAACTATCAAAATAATTATATAAAGCGCTTAAGCAATGCTGTAAAAGTTTGGACATTCTGGCAATAACTTGAGTGTTATATAATTATTTTGATAGTCCAATGAAATTATTTTCAATTCTGTATCTATATAGCAATTTTTCAACAGAACCGGTCTCTCCGTGTATTTACTAAAGACAGAAACTGTAAAAATAACAAATCTAAGTCTAAAATTAACAAATAGAATTAATAAAAAGAAATTAATAAAAAGATTGCATCGGCCGGGAATCGAACCCGGGCCGCCCGCGTGGCAGGCGAGCATTCTACCACTGAACCACCGATGCTGTTGTGATTTGCAGCTTCTTTCTCTGATAATGTAATACACGGTTGTAATACTTTATATATATACAATTCTTTAATAGGTATGGGTATGTTGGCGGAGAGATATCAGGATGACAAAGAACGTGGTAACGCGATGGGTATCGCGCTGGGCGGACTAGCTCTTGGCGTTCTTATCGGCCCTCCATTCGGCGGAGTAATGTATGAATTTGTAGGAAAATCTGCTCCGTTTTTAGTTCTTTCTGCGTTAGCCCTTGGCGATGGATGTGAGTACAAATACAAATTTTGCAATAAAAAAATTTTCGTATAAGTGATAAATTATACTGCATTTAAATTGTATAATTTAATGTAAATTTATACTAGAAAAAAACTCTACTTGCATTCATTGGAATTTTTGTCGAAAATGGATAAATCAAATTTTCCAATTAATTCTCTATTAGATATAATTCAAGTTAAGATGATCAAAATTCTGACTGATATGAGCAGAATCTTTTAATTCGTTCATTTTCAACCAGAATTTTTTCTCGACAGTTTAGAAATATTTTCTGATATTTTGATATTTTCCACATAATATTTCTTCATTAAATCATTTATATCATTTATCATTTCAAAAATAAAGACTCCTCCTAATTCAGTGCTCATATTTTATAATAACTAATAATGCTTTTGAAAATTCAAGTATTGCAGCTTTTGATGCTCCAACCATCGGTCGTGTATACGGAAGCAGAACCACCGTCGTTAAAATCTCTTATCACTGATCCCTATATTGTTTTAGCAGCTGGTGAGAGAAATATGAAACTTACACTGAGAAAAAAAAATTGTTAACTTAATACATAGTGATTATTTAATTCAAATAATATTATATATGCGTGGATCATGTCAACAAAATCTTGTAATTTAAAACATATGTTATTTGTTTGAATTAACAAATATTTGCTTGATAGTCCGCGACCGCTGCATTTAGATTGAATCGACTAATATTTTTTTTAAATCAACAACTTTTTTTCTCAGTGCAGTCAAATATAAAATATGATTTCAATAGATGTAAGAGCTATCGATATTTTAGGCGCGATAACGTTCGCAAATATGGGCATTGCTATGTTGGAGCCGAGCCTACCTATCTGGATGATGGATACGATGGGTGCAAGTCGTTGGAAACAAGGGGCCACGTTTTTACCTGCGAGTATCAGTTACTTGATCGGAACAAATCTTTTCGGGCCACTCGGGCACAAAATGGGCAGGTCAGTCCTTCAAACTCAAAAATATCTTAATAATAGTGAAATCGGCAAACCTCAAACTACACATTGCCCGGATAGCTCAGTCGGTAGAGCATCAGACTTTTAATCTGAGGGTCCAGGGTTCAAGTCCCTGTTCGGGCGAAGATATCTTTTTTGTAAAATACTCCGACAATTCTTATCGCGATATATACTTGTTACAGATGGTTAGCTTCTCTGATTGGACTAGTCGTTATCGGTATCTGCTTGATGTGCGTAAGTATATGCATACATTTTTAATTTTTATCATCGAGGGAGCGAAATAGCCACTTAACGTCACATTTGTGTTTACACTGTGACATATGCTATTTCGATAATTTTCTTAAAATTACATTATAAATCATAATACAATAATATACTTATGATGTCCATTTCCACTTTAATCTCGGTTCAATCTTCATCTTTTTCTAAGAATTAAAAAAGAGATGAAGAATAAGTTGAAACGGGATTAAAGTTAATCTATATTTTGGTAGAAACGAGCATAAGCCGTTTAAATTAAAAGTTGTTAGAGTCTCAATTTTAAACAACCGCGTTAATTGAAACATAATTTTAATTAAAGTTACCTAATCTTATTTCTATTTCATTTGTCTTGCAGATTCCGCTAGCGAGAAGTATCGATCACTTAATTGTACCGAATGCGGGGCTGGGATTCGCGATCGGAATGGTAGACAGTTCGATGATGCCCGAGCTGGGATATCTGGTTGACATAAGGCATACCGCTGTTTACGGAAGCGTTTATGCTATTGGCGACGTGGCGTTTTGTCTTGGCTTTGCTATAGGTATGTGAAATGGTTCTCTTATATGTCTTTCACATTTTATCTTTCTTTATTCTTGTATTTACTCGATAAACGCACGCTAACAAAATCAATTGATAAATTGAGATCAAACATTTTTGAATTATTAACACGAATTATTGAGTCCATCCCATGCAAAATTGTTGCAAGATTTAAGTAGTATTTTTTCTCTTTTTCTCTTTTTCATTTAGAATAATCGAATTGATAATTAAGATTATTGCAAGAAGTGCATATATATATATATTAATTTCCTTAGGAATTCTAACATATATACTCTAAAATATATGTAATTAAATTTTTTTTTAATTCTTATAAGCTGACAAAGGAAAAACAATTATTGCAATATTTTTAATTTTTTACTTTTTTTCTGTTTAAATACTTATAAATTTAAAATAATTAAAATATAACTTAAAAAAAAAATTTCAAACTAACAATACTTTATTAAATAATTAATTCCTAAAAAGATCAATAAGAGATGTTAAAATATACATAAAATCAATATTTTTAATATAACAATGTTCAAAATGTTGAGTTCATTCTGTTCCAACACGAATATTATAAAAATAGTATAGTAATAAAATTCGCATTCAGAGTTAAAAAAAATAAAATGTCATATTGAATGTTAAACAAAATTTTCTTCTAAGATCTGATGTAAATTGTCTACAATAAATTTGAAAGAATAAAAAAAAATAAATCTGCATCGGCCGGGAATCGAACCCGGGCCGCCCGCGTGGCAGGCGAGCATTCTACCACTGAACCACCGATGCTTACGAAGGACTTCGTAATTCTATTTGATTAACAACACTATTAATAACTTTTAAAAATATCAAAAATATTATAGAAGATGTATATCTATATACATATGTATATATATGATTGTAAAATATAACTAATGATATAAACAAACAAATTTTTTAAATTAAACAATAAATCATTTCTTGCCTAGGTCCAGCATTGAGCGGAACTTTGGTCAACACTATTGGTTTTGAATGGATGCTTTTCGGCATAGCTTTGTTAAATTTCATTTACGCCCCTCTTATGTATTTCTTAAGGGCGCCACCAACCAAAGAAGAGAAAAAGGTAAAATTATAGTAGACGTTTTCTATTAAGCTTTTTAAGAATTTCTCGCTAATTTTCACTTCAATTACAGTCGTTAATAATTGGTGAAAAATCATCTGTGCGTTATGTCACCTACCAGAATGAGGAAGAGGATCAGTAAAATAATAATTCTAAGCGTTCTCTCAATATAATCCGTTATTTCACTTAGAACGCATATTCTCTTTCCTTTTTTTTCCAACAATACAGAAAATAGTTGCCTTTATGTTACGTTGATTTTTATATCTATCTTAATTTCTGCAATAATTTTCATCAATTGAAAGACAATAACATGTTATTATTCCTCTTAATTATCGCGTTTTCTAATTTATTATTATCGGAATATTCGTATTTTCTTATTTTGATAAATGATAGGAAGCTACAAATACAGCGACAATAAGCACTGTTGACATGCACTTGATAACATTTGGCAAACTAATGTGTAAATGTAAAGTATTAGTAACCGAGTAAAGTTTTCTTAATAGACAGTCGACAAAAAATTCTGAAAAAAAATGACGAATGATCTTTCAAGATAGACTCGGAAAAGTCGCACAACACCACACTTGATATCTGTTAAAGTATTATAATATTCTATAAACAGGTCGCGCACGTTATCAACGTCTGAACTCGGGAGATCTCGCATTCTCGAATATTTATGGATAGAAGTAGCCGTAACGAGGTGACACGTTGTGAAATGTCTTTCTGTGTATTCTGCATCATCGATATTATTGTTACACACATATCGTATGTAACAAACGAGTAATAGTAGACTAAAGTAATGCAAAAGTTGTGGAAAAAAAATAAAATAAAAAAAGCTCGTTATACCGTAGCAT